TTTTTTTTTGACACACAATGTAAAGGAACAGTTCACGATAGTTTTGAGGTACCCTTTTGAGGTTGAAAGGCAGAGGTGTTGAGTACATTGATGGCGAAGAAAGCGAGAAAATCCCCCTACTTCGAGGCTCTTCAAAAGTAGTGGAAGTGGAGGTTGTACGAGATCACCGTGACCGTAGTGGCATGTGTGGGGTGCTCGGACGAGATTTATCTTGCTCCTATTGCTCGAAGAGATGACAACATCAACCCAAAATTGTCCAAAACTGCCTTTCACTGTCGCTATGGGTCACGTCGTATTGTTTGAACTTCCTACATGGGAGTATCTTGAGATAGTACAGCCTCTGCAAAACCGTTGAAACTCGTCCACGATGGGAGTGACATTCACACAATCCAATCTATGACCCCTTTTCGTGCCCCATGACGTTTTTTGACCTTATAGCGAAAGGTATGGTATGAGGATTAACCTCGAATTTGTACTAAAAAAATCTCAGAAACTATTTTTATCGTGAACTGTGCCTTTAAGAAATGACAGCCTTAAAAAGGAGTTGTATTTCTGTGTGTAAACTCACTGGGACAATTTTTCTGAGAACTTTACCAATAGAAATACATACACCTTTCATTATGTACAATAAATCTTCTCAGTCACACCAGGTAGTCCACATTCCACATAGAATTTGGAAATATTGGTCAAATGGTAGCATGTTAGAGCTTGCCATACATAGTATAAGTTGGAAGACGAATTTCAAGGGTCCGATTGGCACTGGCCCATTTAGCAAAACAATGAAATCTTCTCAATTAACACTGCGGCATTTTATAATATATACAACAAAGAAAGCAAATACCAGAGGAACAAGTGGAACAGAATGATATTTGCCAAGCACATAGTGGTGAAGGGACGGTTTCATCAAAAAATAGTATAACTTCATATAAAAGGAGTTTCGTCACCGGGTAACAAGGAGGAATAAGAAGGAAGAAAGAACCTCTCAAACGCTTTTCATAACTGACACTGAGTACTTCCAGTGTCATCCATGAATTGGACATAAACAAAAATCATCAGGAAAGGGTTAGTTCGTATTAGGTAGGTTGCATCCATGAGTTCCATCACAAATATCGAAAGCACGTGCGATTATAGTGCGTCACCGCGGATCTAGTAAGCGACTCGGTTCAACCACAACTTTCGACTTTTGCAGCGAGTGATTCCTTTCTCGATTGCATATTTTGAGTTTAATTCTACCATTCGATTTTCATGTTCTCATACAGACGTGCTCGTTTCGAGAACTTCGTTCCAGACAAGTCACCGACTTCGCTCACCGCATCCAGTACCTGAAAATTCTTTTTCTAATAACTTATTCTATTTATAATATCGTAGACTCTATCTTTCTCGGTTCTCTTCACCAAATAATAGACTCACGCCACTGGCCAATCTATATATGAGACCATTACCGATGATGTTATCACCCCAGCGCAATGGTTTCATGAACGGAATACGTACCTTGTCAAGCATTTCCTTCGTATGAGCCGCTGATACACAGAATCGGCATCGTGACTCTGTCATACTAGTTGCTGGGAATGATACCACAACGACGCCTACTCTCCTCTTCAGTAGTTCTCTTCCATAGAAGCTGGAAAATAAAGCTAGACTATGGCCGCTTGATTGCTAATACTGCACGAATAACTAAAACGACTTCACGTTATAAGTTATTATTCACGACTTCGCTCATCTCAACCGTTCATTTTGGGATTTCTTCTGGAAAATCCAGGATGTCATGAAAATCCACCATGGGAATGCTTCGTTTCAAGATTTCTAAGTGGTCGTATAATCGAACACAAGTAAGTTCATGCTAGAAATGAACTAAACTGGGAATGCCTTCCACGATACGTGATGAGAAATGCGGAGCGCACAGCGCAGTACACGTACAATGGAATAGTGCAATAATTTACAACAAAGTGAAATAATATTCATAGAAAGCAAAACAGGGTAAGTTTTTGCCGTAAGTTTACAGCCATCTGATGAAAGCAAGGATAAAAGCGGAGCGGAGACTCCGGTGGTGAAAAGAAACTAAAAGAAGTTAGGAATGATTTGAGATTAAGGTTCTGAAAACTTTCCATCATAGGCCAATTAAGCGAGGTAGAAGTGCCGCTGTGAAGGTCATTCTTCATTGCGCAAGGATAACTTTGGAGAAAGACTTGGGGTGAATTCAGATGATATAGGAAAATTAATGGAGTCAGAAACAAAAGAGATGTCTTCACCAGAAATTTCAAGGAACAGTCGAAGAGGCATCAGCAAAGATCTTTCTGAAATCAAGGATATGGAGAGAGCCGAAACTGTAGATAGGTAGAACGAAGATAGAAGCTAGCTAGCTAGATAGCTATAGACAGAAAGAAGTGGCGGATATCGAAAAACAGCGGACTCTGCTAATGCGCAGAATCAACGTTAGGGAAGAGAAGTAGTCTCAATTGTTCTGATTACTCAGTTACGCAAGTGGAAAATGAATTGATGGTGTCGATGACCCATTTCTATCGCATTTTCTTGGCACTACTACATATTATACATAGATGTCTTTCTCTTCCTGCAGTTTTTTCTTGATTAGGCTCAAGGAAGCAGACGTTCGCTTTTTAGTGACAAATCTGTCCTGACACCTCGTGCCTTGAAGTCAAACTTTTTCGATTAGTTTTTTTTTTCTAACACAGTGTACAAAATATCATAGGAATGGTAAACATAAATGCTTCATCTCAGCCTCACCCGCAAATCGCCGGGTAGTAAAGTAATACTGGTACAACAGGACTGTCATCACTGCCATAGACGATGAAGCCGAGTTGCTTGAGTCGAAGACGGAAGTACCGTGCATTCCTAGCCAATCGTTCAATACGTTGAGCACCTAGAACGTAACCACTTTTATTTTATAGGCTGAGAATCTGCCCTCACAAAAGGGAAAATCTTAACTTTGCAAAGAACTTCGAGTGGACACCTAGATATACTACAGTGCTTCATAGACATCATAGAGATCATAGCGTCTAAGATACTTTCTGTGAACATTGAAGTAAGAAATGCTAAATGACTCTCCGAAAGAATAATGAATCCTCAAAATATGCTCTTTGAGGCTCGGAGATAATTTCAGATTAATTACAGGAAATGCAGTTGTCTTGCCTGCAAAGCAAGCGTCCGCGTGGCTCAGAAGTAGCTGTCTTTTGTCAGGCGAAGGTTGTGTGGATGCTCTGCCGTCTTCAATGTTTTTGCATAGCGTGTTCTTTACCACCGGATGCTTTAACAACATTTTCTGATATTTGAGTAAGTAAGCCTCTTATTAAGGCTACCGTTAACGCTGGTCGCGCTCATTTAAGACTGAAATTCTTTAAGACAGAAACGTAACACATATGGCTATTCTTTTTTGCGATGAACGTATGAAGACGTTGTTATATGCTTTGATATTTAAAGCCTGCCCAATGGTGCAACAGTGTTTACTGGTTTGATCCACTTCCATGCACCACGTTCAGTCTTAAGACAGTTGAGACTGTACGTGGTGCATGGAAGTGCATCTGCATCGTATCTGAAGGCTGCAGAAAGCCACCAGGTACAAAGTGCGAAACTCATAAAAAAACATGTTTCTTTTACACATTTTCAGTTGGTTTATTGATATTGAGTTATCTACACATTGAGTTTTCTACTGCCTACTTTCCATCATTCTAAGGCGATTCCCCTCGTGTGTTCCAATATTGAAAATAAAAAATAGTCACATAAGTTCAAGCAGAAACGTTCCGTCTTCTATAAGAGAGAGAATGAGCAAACCATAGCCTAAATGGAGGCGCCTGACTAAAAAAATATCAGCAATTGTTATAAAAGTTTTGTTGAAGACTGTGCAAAAACCTTGACGACGGCGGAAAGCAGACCCCGCAGCGTGCGTTGGGCAACGAGAGCACTACCTCCACGTCACGAGAGGGCTTGCCGTGCTGGGACATCTGCATGCTTGAAATGATATTCACCTAGCAAATTTCGGGGGCTCATAACTTTTGCAGGAACTCTTCTGGCAGTTTTACTTCGTGTGTTCGTGGAAGTGCTTCAAACTTCATCGAATACGAAGGTTTTCAGACAAAGTCTCATGGAAAGTTGAAAGCCTTTCCTGATCAGCGGAAGAGCGGCTGCGTTCAAGGGTGCGGGGTCATCACTACAGTCATAGAGCAGATCAGATCAGAGAAGCTAAGTTTCTGTCACTCTGCGGTTGAATAGGTTATACGAGACTTTCTCAGGAGAAAGGGGTGAAATAGACTGACTTATGTGGGGTCTGTCCTACGGAGTAACAGTATAGATTTCTGCGCACCAGTTTGTTCACATAAGTATGACTTGAAGCCAAATGATTCAATACTCTAGATATGAGCTTGCTAGCTACCAAATTATAGTTTAAACTGACCATCATTGGTACCATCTTTGCCCATAATGATGCTCATCGATGTGTAGATCTGCTGTGCAACAGCCGGAGACATTGGACATGAATAGTACCCCGTCGGTGAGTTGATTCGGAGATGATCTATTGTCTTCTGAAAAAAATCTTCCGATCTTCAGTGTTGCCAGCTGGTCATATACGTTTATTTATCACTGATGTGAGGCCTCTTTTTGGGTGTTACTCAGCGATAGCAATAAAGATAACCATGGTGACCATGAGAAGGCTACACACTCTGCTCCCGCTTCTTCCGAAAACGCTTTTTTTCAGTTTTCGATAGGAGATTACGTCCTAGCTAGGCGCTTCTGTCAAACACAATGAAAACAAACACGAATGCGTGTAGGAGTGATTCACGGTGCCCTCTAAACTTTTGTCCACAGATAGGCAATCGTGAATTCTTCAATTCGAAGGCTACGCGTCCACCTGCGATCCAAAGGTGGACCATCTTGTAACTAACTCGAGCTAAACAAGCACCTTCGAGCCGGCGATGTATCCACCTGCACCACCGAAGCTTTTTGTGAAGGTGCCCATGAGGATATCAACATCCGTCGGATTACATCCCCAGTATTCGACCACACCTCTTCCAGATGATCCCAGTGCACCTAAAGGAATAGGTTACAGTTAGCACGTAGTTTTTACATTTTAAAAGCTCCTTCATTCTCACAACTGTCATAAATGCCAGAGTCCCATTTCCTTCCTATTTTTGTAAACCTCATGTCGCTGTTAAGTACGGTACATCGAAGAAAAGCTAACCTATCGAATGCGCTTCGTCCAAGTAGAGATATGCACCATACTTCTTCTTCAGGGCGATCACTCCAGGGAGATTGCAAATAGACCCCTCCATGGAGTATATACCTGGAATAAAAGGAGCCCTGCTGATTGACACTGCTTGGTTCGAACGGAGAGACCTCAAGACTATCGGAATTTAAAAGCACCTCGACGGAGAACCGATCATGGAGCTAAGACACTCTCTCTTCCTATTGTGACGGTTTCACAGAGCCAAGAAACTTCAAAATTTGGTGCTATGGAACACACGGACCTTCAACAATTATCAGGATTTTCTTGTACGGTTGATGTGTCTTTGGGTCACCGTAGGCTATTGCGTCACGCAAGATTTTCTCCAACGAATCCATATCTGAGAATAATTTATTCGGAAATCAGTAGACTTGAAAACATTTTGAACTGAAGCTGGGTTATCTTCGGTGAGCTGACAATCGGCTGGCTACAGATTTACAGTTCACGTTCTTACCATTGTGCCTGAAGACTTTCGTGGAGGCACCGGATAACCGACATCCCAGTATCAATGAGGCATGGTTGTGTTGATCAGAAACGATCAGGCAATGCTGAAACTAATCCGTTCTATGTTCTTATCAGCCGTCATGCAATGCTGTCACTTTCGTGCGAGTGCCAATAAGTGCTTAAAAATTGAGACTAATACCTTATCGACCAAACAAGGAGCATTCATTGAATTCGTTGCAAAGCCCATACTGAAGACAATTGCATCCTCGACGCGTAGAAATTCAGCTACGAGTCTTTCAAGTTTGTACTGAGAAACTGTTCTACCTCAAAGTCCGAATTCGAGCAAGAAACTTAACACAGGACTATTCATGATGAAACTGTAAAACTGATAGTCTTTTTTCTGAAGAAGACTGTATGACCACCTCTTTCATGCACTGTCGTGCACGTGGCCAAGCCTTCGCTGTCCACCTGAGCTATCGTCGCATCGGCGCATGGACCTTTAGCCTGGGCAAAACCGAGATAATTGTATGAACCGACGTTGATAACACTGGTCTTGGTTCCCCGATACCTATAAGTTACCCGCAAGATAATATCGTGGACTGATCGGGAAATACATGAACCATGAATGGGAAAGGTTACCTAAAAGTCCAATTGTAGTCATCAGACGTCCTGTCGATGAGATCAACTGTGGCGCCTGGGACCGATCCTATCGGTCGATCAAATACATCCCGAACCCTCCTGTAGCAGTTACGCGAGTATACAAACTCAAAGTCGGTGAACAGCGGCACAAAATCCTAAAGAAGAATTGTCTTTGTTGTAGTAACTGATTTCACTTATGTGAGAACTCTTCACACTCATTAGGATCAGAGAGTGGAAGTGCGCGACCAGCCATGACTGTTTGTATAAATTTCTCAATAGTTCGGAGTCACATAGCAACTGCGATGTCATTTCTTATAGGCTAGATATCAAGTGGATCCCTGTGAGAGAGCTAATCGTCCCATTGAGCATCAAGTTCCACCTCCATGCTTAGTTTTGCCAAATCCGCTTCCACTACTTCGCATGTCGTGGCCTGAATACGAATAAACCGTCAACGCTATAGCTCCTGTCGATTACAGAGTCCACTTCGCGTAAGGACGGAATGAGAGTCAACGGATGCGGTTGCTATCTTGCATTCGACTCAGCCAAATACTAGTAAGTACTGGGATACGGTTAAGGGTCGCTTTCTGTCCACTCTGGCCTGACCAGCTGCCCCGAAGAAAACTCACTCAGTAGATGACCACGGCGTGATATATGCTGCATTGGTGCTGTCGCCAGAAGGCCTATCTTCTCAGCTTTCCTATGAGCAAAAATCACATGGGAAAGTAAGTCTCGTGTCAAATCTAGAAATTTCTTGGCGTCCAGTACTATTAATCTGGTGGGTCATTGTAAAACCGCAGTGAACCGGGGCCGGCAAAGGCTGATAGTGATGAATCAGTCTGATTTGCTTAATTTCGCAGCGGTTTATTAGCTCTGTGGGAATTCAAGAAATACAGCTAAGAAGTTGCACTCTTAAATAGCGTAAGATTAAAGGCACAGTTCACGATAATTTTGGGTAGCCCAGATTATGATGAAAAAGGGACGACAAGATCGAAAATAGTGCGATGAAGGTGGCAAGAAGAATAGCAGAGGAAAAAAGAATGGGAGAAAAACATCCCCTCATCACTCGGCGACAGCTGATTGTGCGTGGGTCCTAGAACGAAAGTTTACAATCTGTATTGTCCCCACACTCGTCTCTGACGTCTGACGTGACATTGATGGAGAGGCGGGAAGGCCAGTGACGTCCCCGCCCATCGAATTATCGTGAACTGTGCCTTTAAAGTTCGCAAGTCATGCATGTTGCTGGAGTCTCTTCTGAGGTCTCGTCAACACCTTTTACATATATATNATATATATTTTACTTTTATAATAGTTCGCGATTGTGCCTTAGGTACCTTTAAAAGGAGTATATTCGAAAAACAAAACAATGTAAAAAAAAACAGGGGATGATAAAATAAGATAAGACATGATCATAAACTCTAAGAGTGGAATCGAAGCTTCTGTGGTGGTCAGACTAAGGTATACTATTAGGGTGATGCTGTTGTGACTGTGGCTCGGTAGGCCACGGTTCAAGGTTCAAGGAGTTCGAGTGTTCAAGGCACCTAGACTTCAGTGATAATGTACCACCACTGCTTTACGCAGAGTACACAACAGATGAAAGAAAAATCTAAAGTAGGAGAAAGGTTTAGGACTTCATTGAATTGGTTTACACCAACTTCACCCTTCCACTTTACAAAAATGGGAAGTTGAAGGGTTAATTTCGTACATAACTGACGGTGCCAAATGTTTACACCAGGGACGTTCACTTTCGCCAGATTGACTAAGCTCACCTTATTTGACTGATCGCTCATGAATATTACAATGAGTATACATACTCAAAAAATATTGCAATATTACCTTTTGTTTGGTAAGTTCCTTGCTGGCCTTATCGTGTTCGAGTCCCCAATTTCGAAGAGTTTCACGAATATAGGCAAATATGAGTAACACTATCCATGAGAAGTAGACAGAGAGTTTCGAGAGACGACCCAGCTGAAATAGGTTGTCTGAATGCTGTGCTTTGCTTTTCAAATTTTGTCCACGCCCAGGGTGAATTTTCTAAGCGGTGCGGAAATTTTTGTTCAAGAGGCATCTGACACGTTTACATAAGGCTAAGGCGACTTTAATTGGCAGCAAATTCTCAAAGGCAGTTGTGCTACCCGCAGATCGTCATTAAATGGGTTGCACAAATATATGAGGCGGATTGTAAGACCTGGAAAGTGAAATGTGTGGAGCAAGAAATGCCCCATAAGAGGAACCTGCACATCAGAAGAAGGAGATAGAGGGGATAGAAGAGTGGAGATTAGAACGCCTCTATTTCACGCGCGGCGCAAACCTGATATTATAGATGTAGCGTGTTGCGACGTTCACTCATTTTTTGTGGGGAATTATTCATAGGTCCGACAAGGATCTTCTCACCTCAGATTATTTACTTTTTAGTTACTTTTCTATTTAACTGAAAGTGATTTGAAGAGAAACGTTGCAACAACCAATCTTCTTTGAATGTGCATCTATTTCCGGGGTCAAAAGTAAACAATCACTCACATGTTCAAATTCATTAGGCGCCCTTTCGCTGATTTTGCCATATATGTCTCGCTCTTCTTGGGAGCCTTGAACTTCTGATTTCGACTGTCCTTGTTCCTTAAAAACATGGAAAGTAGGAAGCGTACAAATCCTCTCCTTATTATACTTTCAAAATTGTACCAATTTACTTCTCACACCTTTTGTACTTTACCAGTTCGTACACTACTCTGTGTCACAACAAAGAACGCACCGGACATAGTTATGCTGGTAATTTATGAAAAAGACCGCCCAATTCGAGAACGTCCCCCCACCCAGTTAAAGAAATGATGAGTTTTTATGGCTGTTTGACCAATCACTAAGGTTTGCTCATTTTTTCTTTTCTGTGAGCTGTCGTGGAAACCATTCGATAGTTGAAGATAAGACGGCTATGAAAAGCAGAGAAACAGATATGCAAACAAACAAACAGACAGACAGACGCGAGCGCGTTATATATAGTAAAGGTTTTCCACTTCTACCATCGCCTCACATTAAAAACGTTGTAATTGTTCAAACTCTTCCAAAACGTAAATAAGGATTCCTAAATNTATGTGATGTGTATGAAAGGTAGGACAAGTGAAACTGCGCGCAGCCATCACAGTCACTATTGATCGACATTACCCAGAAAATACTTTATTAGAGCACAATTTGCGACAAAAGTTTTAACTACGCCAGGTACATTTATGCGTTCCAACTGACCTGTGACACTTCCGATCCCTCGCTCTGTGTCTCGGAGTCGTTCGAGTTGTCCTGACGTTCCTGCCAGGCGCATTCGAGGATGTTGGTCCGATCTTTCAGTTGCCTATGCATGAAGTTGTCAATACACATCGCATCGTTTGGTTTGAACATGTGATCCATGGGCGACGTTATTCCAGAATAGGAGTATGCAGCGTTGGTGGGCTTAGTCAGACCAATGATGGCAGAACAAACGAGGCGTCTGATAAAGGCTGTGTTATCTTAATTGCACTTCGGCGTGCGCTAGGACTTTACTTGGTAAAAGTCGCCAAGGTGATGTACTGGCAGTCCCTTTTGTACCACTTCCTTGAACTGAGAACAAGTCACATCGAGGGGTGCAGTCAACTACGGGAAAGTGTATTGTACCCAAAAGTCTCTGCAAGAAGCAACCGCAATCACACCAAGCAAGCATTGTCATTGCTCATTGCTTAATCTAAGCGGCCTGCTGATGAAGAGTTCGCAGCTCACACAGTCAGATCGGGTTACGAGGGAATTCAGAAGAGGTGTCTCATTCTCAAGAATATTAGATGTTCAAGCATCAGATTCTGAATTTAGTGAAGAGACAAGGTAATGTTCAGGTAACGAAAAAGCAAGTCTGTCAGTCGGACAGTGGTCGCAAGGAATGAAAAGGAATTCCACCAACTTTAATGCCTCCTTTCCGTCCACAGATTTCCTTAGTCCGCTCTCTATGCTGTGAGGTTTGACCTGGGAGCATGAGAGCACTGACTCCCTAGAAACCAAATTAGGGCACTTATACGATTCTAAACTTTAGTTGGAGGATTGACGCGCAGCCCATTCATCCACGCTTAACGCCTTTACTCCCACTGCGAACTATGAGATTACCTTGTTTTCATTGACCTTTCCAAAATTTTGCTTCACAAACTCACCCTTCAAAGAGAAAAGTTGAGATATCTCGCTCATTTTCGTCCATTCCGACCCCATCCTTTTCATACTCCTCAATTGCACCTGCCGATGAAATCTGCAAGCTTTATGGAGTTTATTAACTATTAAATAACCTCATATACTGACATGTACTTAGTCACCCCTCAGTTTTCCAATTATATTGCGCCATCCTATGAAGAACTGAAGTGAGAACGATTCACAACACCATCGTCGTTCTTTTTCGACACCGTTTCCCACATATACATAGCCAGAGCACCAGTATGAATCCAGAAAGGATCCACTCGAAAGATGGCCCAATTTTTGAGGTGGTATCCCATTACTGTGAAACCGACTAATTGGGTGAATTTTACGGATCTCGGATGAGGAGGCAAAAAAAAGCTGGGTCGTAAATTATTATCAGCTAAATAAATCATGAAAGGTGACGTGGAACGCACTTACATTTCGTGGCTTCTGAGACTTAAAGGAGTGCAATCGAATTGGCATGTTCTGGCAAATCCGGAAAGCCGACCTCGTTGAACTAAACGTGTCCACCTGGACTTGACCGTCCATCTGCAAAGTGTCTTTTTTTTGGAAATTTGCGCAAGAACTGGCTTATGACACGTCAAACATATAGATTCAGATATCACCCAGATAAGAAATGACGGCTAGGTCTTAAAAAGATAAGACCACTAGGCTTAACGCGATTTTAAAACTTTCTATCTCAGATGATTGCTTCAATTTCGAGTGTCTCTCGCAATCGTCATCTCTTCATTCATGAGTGGACACCTGGATGAGTGGCAATCACATTTAATAATTTACGAAATCCGCTGATACTACTAATAATAATGATATCGGATTGGGATGCTCATCTGAACAGGTCAGTCTCACTTTTCAACACTATCAATCACCAACACTGCCAAACGACATACAATGCTTTAGCTACTTGGGTAAATGAGTTTCAAAGGCGCAGTTCACGATAGTTGATGTACCCATTCATGTCAAAATAGGGACTTATTGGTTGAGAATCGTGCATCGATGGTGAAAATGCCGTCGATTAAAAGTAGGTAAAGGCACAATTCACGATAATTCAATGGGCGGGGACGTCAGTGGCCTTCCCGCCTCTCCATCGATGTCACGTCAGACGTCAGAGACGTCTGACGATTATGTGTGGGTCCTAGAACGAATAGTTGCAATCTGTATTGTCTCGACACCCGTCTAACGTGACATCGATCGAGAAGCGTTAAAGCCAATTACGGCAGCAACAGGACTTCCACTAACCCCTGAACGCCGAGATTGTGGGGCGAAAGGGTCCCTACTACCACACATGGGGGTGCTGAGTGTTCCTGAAGGGAGAACACACTAACCTTTTTCATCGTGAACCGTGCCTTTGATCGCTACTGGAGGACCTTTCGGAGCAGATGTGATGTAGTGGCAGGTGGCGCGCCATCATATAAGCAAGGTCAGGGGTTCTGTTCCTACACAGGTACGTCTCTAGGCCAAACATACTCGACCACTCCATCCGGGGTCGACTAGTTGCTACCAGATCCGTTTGTGAGGATGAAAGCGCTGATGTGTTTATCGGCGAGCCACTGCTATTCATTGTACAGGTCAACTATGCGTTTGATACACCGTTACGATCCTGAATGGAAATTAAAAACGGGGGTGCACCCCAAAACCGAGATCGATCAACGACAATGGCTTCATCATTTATCCTTCATTGAAGAGCATTCAAGCAGTTTGAAATCCCACAGTTTCCTTTACAAAACCGGCTTTGTATACAGTTTTGGTGAAAGTGGGGCAAAGTCTGAATGCTCATGTGTGTACTCATCATAGCCAAGTGGTGATGATTGGAATTTTGAAGATGCATTATCTCAACACCACAAATACTGATAGGTAAAGTGCCTCGACGCCATTTTGTAGTTTTATTATTAGGTGAAGAAAAAAGGCTTGCATGCATGAGCGACTTTTCTTCTTGATCCAAAACGAATAGAAAGTAAGGGCTGAATAGAGATGAAAAGATCGAGACGGGGAAGAAAACGTTTAAGGATTATGGGCAGGAGCAAAATAATGATTGAAGAAACTGCAACCAAGCCATAGACTTCAGTTTATGTTAACGAGCAATGCATACATATGCTTCGCACACAGAAACCGGCTTGATTTTGTTCCAAAGAGTTGGGCGGAAACCTGCGATGGTCCGTAGAGCCAATTCATGCCGAGACTGACGAACAAACATACAGCGACCCGTTGTCGCCTCCCAATCGTAAATAGTCAGCGAGGTTCAGACGACGATAATTTCAAAGATCGCCAAGAGATTCTCTATTTGAGCGTTTGCGGTAAGTATACACTAGTAAGATTACTGTCGCAGCTCTTTCCATCAAATCTACATTCTTGAAGCTGCTTGAAGATACACCATCTGCCACAAGGATTCTGAAGACTGTGCCAAGACAGGAGTTTATGATTTGTAATCACATTACTACTCAATTCCTTCGATGACTTCAGAAATTCCGACGTGGAAATTGCGGTATGCCTTTAGCAGCGGCAATTGAATGCCCAGTTTTAACCTTCCTGATCAGAGCTTTTTGCACAAGGAAATAATCTCCCCCACCCCGTTGCTCCTGATTCAGGTGAACACTGTATTCTTTTGGCCAAGGACCTTGGGTGAGGACAGATAAGGTTAGCTGCCCATCCTTTTCTGCGCTTCGGCCTTCGGTGCTGTTTAAGAGTGTAGCCCAACCGCCCCACCCATCTTTTCACCCCTGACGAATGACTCTCTGGACTGCACGAACCAAACTTTGTTTACATGGCTGATATATGTCACTATCACAACAGATAAAATCAGCTCTAAGATGAGAGAGCCTCATTTCTAGAAGTCACTTCTCCTTGGTGACTCGTTTGCGTTTGGCCGAAACATGGCAAGAAGTGTGTACTTTACGCCAGGTGGAGGAGGTGGAGGATCTGATCCGTACGTTAATCAACTTCTTCTTATTCATGCCTCTAATGCAGATGATATGATTATGAAGGAAGCTGCTTGAGTATTCCCAAAACTTTTGCTTTCATATGACTGAGCCCTACCTAAGCTTTTGCTAGTAACGTGACCGGGATGCTACAACACATTTCGGATCTAGTTGCAGTTCTTGGAACCACAAAGCCATCGAGCTTCGTTTCAGTCTACTTTCACACTTCACTTTTCTACGAGCACCCACCATAGCAAATGAGCTTTATAACGTATACCCACCATTCACTTACATCTGCTGGCAGCGTAGACCGGCGTAACATCGTGACTGGAGCTGTTTCAATGTGATATTGTGATAACTATACATGAATAGAGAGTGTAAACAATGATATGCAATGCTCATGCTCATAATTTCGAAGATACCGTTACCAGCATTATGTACATATCGATCTGGCAATTCATCGATACGCGAAAAATGGTAGACGATAAGGCTTTTTCGCATTTAAACTGAAGCAGATTGCCACGTAGGAGTAGCACATGGGTTGCGACAAGACCTATGAGAAGCGCCGGTAACATCCCATACTGACCACACAGAACCAAATCGTTTTGATTTTGTGTGTGTTATACTCCAGAAGTGTGCACTTCAACTTCTAGTTCAAAACAAACCATGCGTGGAAAATTGTGGGTTCTTCGGTCTCGACAGAAGCTATTAATAAATCGTCACAAATCAAATTTTTAGTGGAGACTGGAATATAATTTCGTTGGATTTCTCGGGAATCTGCATCCTATCTGTTTCTTTTCGCAGGACGTGATCTTTGCACAAGCTGTGTTCAAGCCTCCTTACCCTCTATGTTGATACATGTGACCGTCTGTCCCCCTCATAACCAGGCAAAGATAGTGAGGTGGAAAACCCACCGCCAACAGAGGTAACAAGCTCAATGTATAAGCTGGTTAGGAGCAAGCTCAAAGGATAGGCTGGTGTTATGTTAGCGATAGGGCCTAATGAGCATACCTCACATCATAGGTGCACTTCGTTACGGTAATTCCGAACAAGTGATAGTGATTACTGTCGGTTTGCGGCGTGATAAGTAATCATATCAGGTAGTTCTTACCAAGCTCTCTTTCAGTAGGGCATCTACATAAATCCGTAAGAGATTCATGTAAAGGAGTAAGGACACAAAACTGGCTAGTTAAGTGCAGTCGTACGGTCCGCTTACGTTAAGCTCCCTTCCTTTCTGCGTTATAAGGAATACTTTCGAGTGGCCTTCCACTTCTCCTTTCAAACTACGACACACATTTAGCAGCCTAAGAAAATTGTACTTAAACAATCCGGGTGTCGGTCCTGGCTGGAAAGCCATGTTGTGAAACTGAACATACCCCACCCTGTGTTCTTGCTCTGATGTTTTCAATAGCATCAGGAATGTGACGGGTTTTAGGTTGTCTGGCTGCTCTCCTACATCGTTGTGGGGTTACTGTAATGCAAATTATTCTCGCATTACGAAATCTGCTTTGTTTACAGAATGAGTGATACATCCATGCTTACGAAGAATTGAATGAGAGTGTCTCAATTCTTCTTTGGAAGTCAACATAGGGTCCAAACGGGGATTTGCGTCATGAAGTGTGCAATTGGCATTCAATATGTGATTGTAATTGATGGTCTTTCGCCAATGATTGAAGGCACAGTTCACGATAAAAAATGATTTCTGAGATTTCCGATGGTATGAATTCGACGCTCCCCTTATACCATACGTGTCGTTATAATAGCGAAAAACGTCCCGGATAGGGCGCAATAAGGAACCAAAGATTGTACTGAGGGAATGCCATACCCATAGTAAACGAGTTTCAACGTCTTTGTAGAGGCAGCATCATTCATAAAGGAACCAATGTAGGAAGTTCAAACAACTTGTCATGACCCATAGCGACAGTGAAAGGCAATTCGTCCTTGGGTGGAGCTGGTGTTGCGGCACGCCGTATCTCACAAGCATGGAAGGCTTGGTTGGCCTACGCGGATATCGATCCGGGTTCGAATCCCGGATCGATGTCCGCGTAGGCCAACCAAGCCTTCCATCGCTCCGGGGTCGGTTAATTGATAGCAGACTCGTTTCGAAGGATAAAAGCGCTGACTTGTACTTCGGCTGGCCACAAGTCATTGTATAGGTCACATACGCATTCATTTCGCCCCTACGATTCTGAATGGAAGCCGAATGCTTGGCGCATCAATCAGACGGGATTGATTAATGCTCCAAGACTTTTAATCTTCATCATACAGTCACGTAGCAAGGCTCCATTGTTAATGCAAAAGGGTTGGGACATTGTTTCTGAACATTCATTACCACTCTTTATCAACTTTTATCAGTCCCTGAGGCCAATCGTCCATAGTCCACGATCCCAACACATCGTAAATCACATACCAACATGTAAATGTTGCGAACACGAAAGGTGTGATAAATCCAATATTTTTACCTTTCACTGCTTCCTATCAGCTTTTGTCACATGTTATTATCAGTCCCGGTCGCCGAGCATTCACCTATCACCTTCCACATTACCTGTTGAATTGTTCATGCTTTAGTTTTGTTAAAAATCGCTTTTCGACGCCTGCATTCTTGGCCTGTCTCCGTGATCAAGCATGAGATGTGACCCGTATATAGCCTTTTTCCCTTGCAGTGTAGAACGTTACCCTACATTAAGTGAAAATTTTAATTTCAGAGGAGGCGCCCGAAGTTGCTACATGGGAGTTGGTGGAGGAGGTGGTGGAGGATACTCATCTGCGTAAGTCTGACCAAAAATCGTTTACCGATTTCATCAACCAATAATTCTGCAGGCCAAGAGGTGGGCCGTCGCCGAGTTACGGCGGTGGCGGTGGAGGCGGTGCTCGTAGCGTCTACATGATGCCAGGAAGCGGAGGCGGTGGAGGAGGATACGATGCTGGTGGTGGTGGCGGTGCACGCAGCTGCTACCTGATGCCCGGAAGCGGAGGTGGTGGCGGCGGATATTCAGCTCCGTGAGGATTACGTCTTCATTTCTCTTCAGCAATCGTTTAAGTGCAGATTACGAAGGACTCGTTACAGATACAGATTTTTNTTTTTCTTGCAAATAATATTTTTCAGGCCACCTAGACCTTCAGACGAGACCAAAACTGCCATTGGACAAGTAGGTGGGGGTGGTTTTGACAACACGAAAACCGCCATTGGAAGTGTAGGTGGAGCCGACAACACGAAAACCGCTATTGGAAGAATAGATGCTGACAATACGAAAACTGCCATTGGAGCTGTAGGTGGCTTTGATAACACGAAAACTGCTATTGGAGGGGTAGATGTTGATCCAACAAAAACCGCGATTGGAACTGTTGGTGGTGCCGACAACACAAAAACCGCTATTGGAAGTGTAGGAGGCGCTGACAATACAAAAACCGCCATTGGAAGTGTAGGTGGTTTTGACAACACGAAAACCGCTATTGGAAGTGTAGGAGGTGCTGACAACACAAAAACCGCTATTGGAAGTGTAGGTGGTTTTGACAACACGAAAACCGCTATTGGAAGTGTAGGAGGCGCTGACAATACAAAAACAGCCATTGGAGCACCTGGAGGCGGTAAGGGCTTCTTCAGCAGCGGAGGAGGTGGAGGAGGTGGTGGAGGAGGTTACGACGCCGGCGGCGGCGGCGCCCGAAGCGCCTACTTTGGAGTTGGTGGAGGAGGAGGAGGAGGTGGCTTCGATGGAGGGTGAGTTATGCTTAACATGATGTCTTCTTTACTTTTACAGAAACATATGAAAATGCAATGAGCAATTTCAGAGCGAGGAGCTCCTATTTCGGAGTTGGTGGAGGAGGAGGCGGAGGCGGAGGAGGAGGAGGAAGCAGGTGAGAGAGCATATTACAGAAGAGGAAACTCAAACGGATTTCCAATCGCATATTTCAGGCCCTCGTATGGTGGTGACGGTGGAGGTGGTGGAGGAGCAAGAAGCGCCTACTTCGGTGTCGGAGGAGGCGGTGGCGGTGGAAGCGACGGGTTTGTTATCATCTTCATCCGACAAATGCCGAGAGAGAAGTTAACTTTTCAGTGGAGCTAGAAGCGCCTACTTCATGCCGAAGTAAATGCCAACGTAGAGTCGAGGAACAGAAGAGTTGCAGATTTATCGATATAAATATTTGAAGGTTCCTGTCCTCCAATGAACTCTTCGTTGCCCAGTTTCTATGTCGAGAAAAAAGAAAAGTGACTGGAATCGTACCTCATCGCATAATGCGTAGTTGCCTACAATGACGCGCTGGCTGAAAAGAGTCATCAGTTTTCTTCGGGCGGAGGTAATGTAGTGGCAAATGGCGCACTATCTCACACCATGAACACGGGTTCGAAGCCCAGATCGATATTCGCCTAGGCCAACAAAGCCTTACATCCCTGTGGGATCATTAATTGGTACAAAACTCATCTGGGACTATAAAAGCACTGACTTGGCATCGGCTGGCCACTGCAAGTCATTGTAGAGGCCATATAAGCATTCATTATGTCAGTACAGTTTTGGATGGAAGTCGAATACGCGGTGCATCCCTCAACGGGATAGATTAACGTCGAACGGCTTTATCCTTTAATAAATATACCAATCGGACTGCTTGGCTAACGCTAGACTCTCCCCTTTTTCGTGTTAAACTTGACCCGCCTCTTGCATTCATTCAAATTGAGACACTCTGTCCCAGGAGGTCAGGAGTTATTGTTTTTTGACGAAACACCCATAGCATCAGCTAAACTTGTTTTTTGTGCTGTTTAAAGCCTCTCCCAGATTCACAACTTTATCCAGCTTACGTTTCGGCCTCTTCGCCTTCTTCGAGCCTGGAAGCTGAGAAGCGAATTGAAATCCTATGATTATATGAAATCCACAAAATAACAGAAACGAGGAGCGTGTGGCCATAACCCGCGACCGCTTTGCAAATTGTAAATCATAAATTAAGGTCAGGAAAGTTATGGGTTGCTTATTGTACGCAGAAATTTAGCTCTTGAGTGGTCGTCCTAGTGGTTGGCCCCTGCGACCAAGGTAAGCCTTGTAGCACCCTTGTATCTATCGAGCCCAAACGGGTGTACTAGTTTAGAGGATTGTTTTGAGTATTGTCTAGACTTACGTGAGGATCAATCTCAAATCGTTTTTCGGCTCTCAGGCTCTGAAGAAGGCGAATAGGCCGACACGTAGCATAGCACACTTTGTACGCACCCCGCCTGCACTCGTCCTAGATTGAACGCCTCAGGTCCAAGTTAGTTTCTTGCGTACGTTCCGCCTCCCAAGGGTGGACTCAAGCCATCCGACCACTATCATCAGCATTCCCATACTGCCGCCTTTATCACTGCAAAATTTGATTGAGTCAGGTTCAAAATGTCAATTTTCAAACACGACCCACCCATGCTAGGAGCAGTCGAGTCCTGCTACCTACCATTAGGGCTTCTATCCTGATACCTGTACTCCTACCAGATTTTAACCCTCCCTCAGAAAACAAGATTTATGAATTTCTATTCAAACATTTATTTCGTGCAATCTCGGCCGCTCTTAAGTGGTATCCGTTCTTGCTGCCCACCAGTACAGGATGCCGCCCACCGTGCCCCGTGTGCTCAAGTGTACCCATCCTGCCGACTGTACTCCTAACAGTTTTAATTGCTTCAGGTCCACGGGAACAGAGAGTATGAATTTCGGGTTGATCACACACACACATGCACACACAAACATACAGACATGAACCCTTTATATATGTACTAGTAGGTGCTCACGCCGGGCTTCTCTCCCTCTCCAGCAGAATTGTGGTATTCGACTGACCCCCCACTCGTTCTTTGAAACAAATAAAACTCTCCAGTAAACGAAGTTTGGCACAGGACTAGAAGAGCAGTGCAAATGGCATTGAGTTAAGTCGGCGCTTACGCCTTTGGTTGGCCGATCTTTTGCTCTCATTCTTGAGAATTACAATAGTACCCTTTAAAGATTCAACTAGGTAACCAAAGCCCTGGGCCGTACTACTAAAAGTTTTTAGTAATGATAACATCAGTATTAGATGTCGTTATCATTGGACTCTTCTAACGGAGGTATCATTAGTTGAGAACTCCAGATAATTGGCGGTCGACTAGGTTTTGTCGCAAATGATAGGGCGGCTAATGGTTCCCTATTACTGCCCTTACCACTCACTTTCGTCACATTGCTCTACCATCCCGTCTTATCGAATGAAACATGCTGAACAGTCAAAACTACTTCGTAAATACCGAAGGCGATAGGATTTTGATCAGTGAGTGGCTCTTGCTCTCTAAAGCCCCTTATTAGCTCTCATCAGTTATTATCGGTTTCTGTCACCGAGTACCTACGATCTCGTCATATCCTTCATCACTTATTAGAATACTGGGGTTCCACTGTTACGAAAAGCTGTAATCCTACCGAATTCGAACTCCTTAGATCCACGGGAAGAAGAGATATGAATTATCGTTCAGCCATTTATTCCGCGCAAAGCCCGCCCTCTGTGGGGGAAATTAGTCCTGTCACCTGCAAAGAGTGTTCCCATCCTGCCCCCTGCACTGCTACCAAATTTGAACTTTTTAGGGCCAGAGGAACAGGAGTTACGAATTTCCTGTCAAACACATACACCGAAACACACGCAAACATACAACGAACCACAGGATGGGAAGAAACACGTAGCGGATTATATAAAGTAGGTTAGTAGGATTTACCAGCTGAGTTCGTCCACTACGGGACTGCCTGGCACACCCAGGAATTGACCCAACCCCTACATCAGAGCATGGCAAGCATCTCGTTGATTACCCTTTTGCCAAAAAGAGAAATATAAATGGGCCTCCCCTGGAGCCTGGAAAGAGCCACATTACGGTAGCGTTGATTAGAACCGCTCGGGAGAGGCTGTTAAAGGGGGCCAAAACAAGTCGTCCTAAAGGACAAAGACCAAGATGGCGACCTGAACTTTTAAAGCACAGACGCTTGCATCGGTGTATTTGGGACTGGAAGGAACTGTTTCTTCGGACATGAATCGGCGGCTAGACATCCTCGACAATATGCACTTCACCATGAACACCGATTTGTACGAAAGCTTGACAACTCGATTCGGCCTTTAGCAGTTATGAAGATATGGTTCAACCCCTGCTCAACAATATTGTTGCAGACTCACCAACATAAGGCTACGTTGGAGAGGAGTTGGAAGCGTTTTGTATGGGTCTGTAGAGGCTCTACAGAGGAATCCACATTTCTTTCAAGGTCATCGCCGTTGATTTCATCGCTACGATTGGCCCGAGACGAACCGCTGAAGAGCTCCACATCGGGGCTCAAGAAATGGGATGGAATGTGCAGGGCGAGTTTATCATGTCGACCCACACTACCAATGGTAGCTCGCAGATCCAGAAGCCTCATTCGGACGTGGGATTCACGAGATGGGCACTTCCATTATGAGACAGAGCACATCATCTTCAACAGAGGTTTTACCTAACTGACGTCGCTGTCGTTCCAAAGTTCTACACGGGATTCTAGCATCGTCCTCTCCGCGCCTAATTCTGATCCTCAGTGGGTGGAGAAAGAGTTATGAAGTTCAGGAAACGAAGCCCTATAAACTCCATCAACCCATAACACTTCGCTTTCCTCGCTTCCCCTGCGAATGAATGGGAAGATTCCGGTATCGACAAAATCGATCTAGATTACAACCAGCTCGTCCAAGATCTCCACAATAGTGCTTGGAAAACAGAGTCTACAAGTAGCCAAGCGACAACTCTCTTCAAAGACTCTCGAGCAGCTACGCACATAGAATCGCGTTTGCTGCAGGCAATAATCAACGAACGTTCGAGCTTGCAGAGAAATGCAGAGGAGCGATAAAGGAACATTTGAAAGAGAGAAGAACAGCACTTATGGACGAAGCCGCCGAGGCTTGGAAGATCATTCACGAAACTCGACGGAGTTTCGCCAATCACAAGGCCAAGATGACTTCCCTTCCTCCTCCTAACGGGACAGTTACTGCATCTTGGAGGGCAATGGACGAGGTCACTTTCTATCTACCCGGATTCCTTCGACAGCCACGTCTACTCACAATATTAGGCAAGGTAGATATGTCATCACTTCCAAAATTCGACCTCTCATCACTTCGATGAAGAATTGTACGGTGCCCGGTCCCGATATTATCAAACCAGAGCATCTGAAGAGTCTGCTACCCCTTATCGTCAATACTCTGGCTAGCCTCTTCACGCGGTACCAGTCGAAATTGAAAGTGCCCACGCCGTAAAAAAACTAGCGAGACTGTGTTGCTGTACAAGAGGGTAGATCACGACGATATTGGCAACTATCTACCTGCTTCTGTAATCTGTAAGCTTTTTACCGGCATTATCCTGACGGGATTGGCAGAATATCACATGAAGGAAAGCCATGCGAGAAGTAGGGTTCTAAAACAATCGATCATATCCAGGCTTCAGTACAATCGTTCATATCCACACTCTTACAAGACCCACTGAAGTATCGAGAGAGTACAAAACGCCGTTACGTCGTACATTCGGCGACTTGAGGAAGGTCTCTGATACCGTCGAGACAGAAGCGGTAGCCGAAGCCCTGGGCAACTTGGGTGCTCCTACTCAATATATAAGCTCTACAGCAACTTCAAGACCAAGATTTCGCCATCCTACGAAGAAGTCTTTGTCATCATATACATACATACATACATACATACATACATACATACATACATACATACATACATACATACATACATACATACATACATACATACATACATACATACATACATAC